CGCACACCACTGCCATCCGTCAGGCTATCAGGGGGCTGTGCACATCCGGAGACCTTGAGAAAGAGTTTCAGACAAGCCAGCTGTAACACTCTCCCTTGGGCCTCTCCACAAGGGGCCCAGCGCCTCTCCGCCTTTCCTCCTTCACCCCTCTTTTACCCTCCTCTCCCCTCCCCTGCAGACCAAATAAACCAGACTTTTTGGTTTGAAACAATTAACTCTTTGTTATTTGTATTTGGGGAATATATAATTGGGGAAGGACTGATGAAAGATCCTGGGAGGAGGGGGAGGTGGAACTCAGGGATGGGTCTGGTGCCTACCTTGGGTGTGTTGAGAGGCCTTGGCTGCCTGAGAAGTTCCACAGCCTCGTGTGCATGGCTCTCAGCAGCCCCAGGGAGGTGGGCTGGGGGAGAAGCCAGAGGGGCAGGGGCAGGTACAAGGGGGACTTGGGAAGGAGTGGGGGGTGGGGAGCTGCTGGCACTCGACAGTGGCAGTGTATGCCGCGCATATGCTCTCGTGCCGCTAGGATAACTGCTGCCAGATGGCAGGCAGCAGCTCCCAGTCAGCATAGCACTCCTCCAAGTCTGCGTCTCACCCCTGCTGCTTCCACTCAAGACACCACTGGAGGGTATGCAGGCACTCAATGTGTTTCCACTCCAGGTCCTCAGAGGTTCATCTGTGCTGGCGGCTCTCATGGGGTTGGGAGGATGACATGAGAGGTGTTGGACATGCCCCACTCGCAACTGACCCAGCTGTGAACAAAAGTGCAAAGGGCAGTCATCCCAGGAGACAGTGTGCATGAAGCCTGGCCCTCTACTCTGAGCCGACACCGAAAGGTCTCGGTTCAGATGACAGCAAAGTGCTTAGACAGCAAGCACTGTCCTGCAGGGGCACTGACGTCCCAGGGGAACCCTGATACCCCCATGTCCCGAGGACAAGCAGGCATAAGAAGGTGCAGCCCATGCCAGGAGCCTGCGGGCAGAGGGGAAGAGGGGGACAGGGCAGCTCGCTTTTCCTCTGTGCCACGTACATGTTGGATCTGGCACTGGTGGCATCCTGCAGAGAGAGCTTCTATACCCGCCCGCTGGGAGAGATGGGGATAGGGTGTCGGAGGAGGTGTGTGTGAGTGGCAGATGCCGCTTGCTGGAGACAATGTTACTGGGGGCTCTCCACTTCCTTCCTCTGGGCATGTTCCCAGGCAGGGGCTCAGTGTCCTCTGCCTTGCCGTGTTTGACCAGGAGTGGATGCTGCCCCGACAGTGTGTGCCTCCTTCGTGGTAGTTTGTGGTGAGAAGGTCTCCCATCACAGTCTGCAGTCAAGCAGGCCTCTCCAGCAACCTTGCGAGAAAAAGTGACAGGTTCCTGAGTGGCAGCCTCATGGGGCTGTTTGCTCCAGACTGGTGGTCCATGTGCACACGTGTGCACCGGCTGTTGTGCAAGCCCCAGGCCGAGAAGGCCAAGTGAGGGGAGTGCAGCCCCTTGCATCCTGCCACCTCCCCCCACATGTAGATGGGGAAAGGTAGAGGACTCACCTGATGTGCCTTCTCCAGCTTCATCCGAACCCTGGGAGACATCCTCGAAGGCAGGTACCAGGCTCCATGGAGATTATGGCCTCCTGGCTGGCAGGCATCATGTCCTGGCTGGCCTCCTCCCTGTCGTCATCCTCCTTCATCACAGCCCATACCCCCTGAAGGCTGATGATGAGCATTTCTAGGCCAGAGTCGATGATGAGGGAGGGAAGGGAACAGGATATGATCTACCTGTTCTTAATAGCAGCAGGTCTGGGGTGCCACTCGGAAGCAGGAACTTCATTCACTGGCCTTGGTATAGGCCTGCCTCAGTTCTTTAATTTTCATGTGCACCTGCGGCCCTTCTGGGCCAGGCTTGAGGCCATCTGGCCATACACTTCAGTGTTCCTGCACCTGGTGTAGAGATGCTGGAGGTTAGCCTCCTCTCCCCAGACCTCTATGAGATCCAGGAGCTCCGCACCAGACCAGGAAGGTGTCCTCTTCAGCTCCCTTGCCAGAGGCTTCAGAGATGGCTGTCAGCCATCATGCTTGCAGCCATGGGGAACTCAGTAGGAGCGCTGGGGTGATTCACTGCAGCAGGGAAGAGCAGTGCGGGGTCCTGCTGTGTGGCACAATGTGATTGAAAATTATGGGGCATAATTTTCCCAGTCCACTCATAGATTTGGTTATTTCCAGTTTGGCCCAATCTGTTATTATCATTGTTATCAAGCTCCTGATTTCACGCAGTGGATCCTGCGCTTCTGGGTATGTGTAGGTTGAAAATGATCTCTTCCTGTCTGGGAAAAATAGCAACTCTTTGTCTAATTGCTTACCTCAGTGTCTCTCAGTCTAACCCCTTTATTTCAGGGGCAAGCCATTGTCTTATTTAGCTTATGTCATCATCGGCATAGATGGGGATAAAGAGAGTGAAAATAATCTCCTAGGGTATGTCTACACTACCACCCTAGTTCGAACTAGGGTGGTAGTGTAGACATACCCTAGGAGATTATTTTCACTCTCTTTATCCCCATCTATGCCGATGATGACATAAGCTAAATAAGACAATGGCTTGCCCCTGAAATAAAGGGGTTAGACTGAGAGACACTGAGGTAAGCAATTAGACAAAGAGTTGCTATTTTTCCCAGACAGGAAGAGATCATTTTCAACCTACCCATACCCAGAAGCGCAGGATCCACTGCGTGAAATCAGGAGCTTGATAACAATGATAATAACAGATTGGGCCAAACTGGAAATAACCAAATCTATGAGTGGACTGGGAAAATTATGCCCCATAATTTTCATATATTTTCAAAATTGATTATCTTTTCTTTTAACATTGAACCTAAATTTCTTGCTTTTCAGTCGATTCCATTCCATTTTCTACTTTGTAGCTCTCTTACACACCATGATTCTTCAGAGGATTCCTTTTCTTCATAAAATGTAGAATTAAAGGGAAGGTTCACAACTAAAACTACTTCAGCGAAGACCACATTTTTAAAATGAAACAAACAATGAAATTCTTCCAGAGGACATAATTTGAAACATCTCACGTGCTTTGTTTCTGGAACTATAACTATTTTTCAAGGCTCTATAATCATTTTAAAAAATATTAATTGTCGAGGAAAAAGCAAACAAACCTCACAAAATGATTTTGATCTAGCATGTCTATTGACAAAAGAACAATCCAGTATAACAGACAGCTAATTGTTTTCAAGATCATTGCTACAGGTCTCAAAGCATCTGCATCTCCATTCCTGTGGAACAGTTGAACTATCTATGCCCTGTTAAACACACTGACAGAGTTTACCATTTCCATGAAAAAAATATATATATGTTCAGATGGCAGGTTTCCCCACAGAAAAAAAATACAACACTTGTAACACTTTTTAAATCAGAAATTCATTTTCATAGTACCTTTTTTTAAATTTCAAATTCATGATGTCTTAAGGGAAAAAATGGTCTCGCTCTCTCTCTCTGGCTATGTCTACACTGTGGGGTTTTTCCAGGATAAAAACTCTGCCGCATCACGGGAACACGTCTACTCTTCTGCTTTTTTTCTTTGTGGAAGAGCAGATGCGCTCTTTCGGAAGCCCTGTCTTCCTCCTCCCACGAGAATGAGGGGCTCTTCCTAACGGGAGGTTTTTCCAGAATTTGGCCCCAGTGTAGACGGGCGAAATTTCGGAAAAGCCTCTTCCTAAAAAACTATGGAAAAAAGGTATGCAAATTGTTAGGTATCTGATCATTTTACTTTAGATTTTGAAGTGGGTGCAATTATACATATGTCAATTCTCAGATTTCAAGGCTCTCTATATGTGTCAATATATATTTAAAGCTGAACTTTGACAGTTCTACCATTAAAGCAATAAGAAATACACATCAAACACAAGAGATGTGCAACATGAAGGTATTTAATAGATAACTCAGTGTTAATATGAACCTATTTTTTGTGTATAGCATACAAGGCACCAGCTGAGTAAAGACTAGAGTAGTCCTTCGAGGTTAATAGACTACTCAGGTGAGTAAATGAATAGAGCAAGTGTCTCCAGAATCAGTTCCTAAGATTTGAAGTCTTCTCCATTAAAAACTTATAAAGGCAGATGTTTAGCATATCTTTTATTAAAAACATGCACAAAATATTTTACATGGTGTTCTGAGAAAGCCTCCCTTTCTTTTCAGTTTTATATAAATATCAGCCCTTTCGTTTGAGAAGTGTTGGACAACAACAAAGATTGTCCCTGTCTTCTCTATTAATCTCCTTATCTTTTAATCTATCCTCACATGTTCGTTCCATAACTTAGTTAAATCAGAGTTCAGTAAAGCTTTCTAGTTTGGGTTTGCTTTTACTGGCATAAACATACACTGGCTTTAGGGAAATATGTGGATTCAATAACCAATATCCTTTTTTTTATTGATTTCATTCTATCTTTATTGTATGCTTTTAGTTAGTTTTTTTTAGTTGAAGAATTTCTAGACAAAATTTGAATGGTTAATTCTGGTGTTATTTGAAACATACTTTAAAACAAAAAGCACAAGAACAAAATTATTGTCTCGGGGTAGTGGTGTTAGGCTGTAACTTTAAAAACAATGAGTAGTCCTGTAGCACCTTAAAGTCTAAATACATATACATATATAGAATCATAAGCTTTGGTGGGCAAAACCCCAAATCTAAGCTTTCACTAAAAATAATGTGAGTTGTATTAGTCCTTTCCATTGCTAAAGTATTGTTCCTTATAGGCCAGTATCTTGATACCATCTAGCTTAAGCTTTGCCGAATTTTCTCTCCAGCCATATAATTCACTATGATCAACTGCAGGTAAGTGAATGAAGATAAATCTATTGCAGGATCAAGGGCCAAATCTTGCTTATTTTATGCATATGAATAGCCCCACTAACCTCAAAGGAATGTTTCACAAGAATAACAAAAGCATTAATTGGACCACCATATTTCAAAATTATTACAACATAGTAATAACAATATAATTTTAAAAGCTCATACCAGATCATATGCAGCCATAAGCTTTTTCTGCACATCAGGCATGGTCCCCAGAGGCTCCAGGTAAGGGAATGCGTCTTTCATATAGATAGTTGCAGAAGGGGTATTATCACTGTTTATGAGCCGTGAGGACAAAGTCAAGATGCACTGCTTCAGACTGGCAATTGGCGGGAGTCCACAGAGCTCTTTAACGGACACGATTGCATTCTGTGGGGGAAAAATGGCTACATGTTTACTGTAGCTCACCATCGTATTCTGGTTTATAAAAATAGTCAGCTAACGTCTCTTTTAGACATACACCAACCAACTCATATGTCCTTCGCTCTGGTAGGCCAGCTACAGTGTAGCCAGGATTTGGCTCAAAGAATTTTAAATAGTCTGACTAAAAACCTCTTCCCCTCTCAAGTGCTCAGATTTCAATCTCTTACATCACTAGTGCTCTAATTGTCCATTGTTCTACAGCAAACATAATTTGGAAAACACTATTTTTTTGATAGGAAAAGCAAGCAAGAGACAAATCATTGTCTTTCAGGCCTGCACTGTGCAACAGAAAAAATAAAAAAGGGCACAAACATTTTTTCTCTTTCATGAGTCACCTGTCAGAAAACCAGGTGACCCAGTTGAAAACTAATTAAAACTCCAGAATGTATGCAAAAGTCAGCTATGTGGCTGCCTTGCTCTTGTAATTTACCTTCTTCCAAGTCATATCATTGTTGCCAAAACCCACAAAAGTCCCAGTATGAGAACACTATAGCAATCAACAGAACACAATTGCTACCGTAACACATTTTAGACCCCTCTGTAAATACAAACATTTGGATCCATATCTAATCTGCTTCAATAATAATGAACATGTGATCCACTCTCCACTTTATATATACATTCACATTCACACCCTGCCTCTCAAATAAAGCCCTCTAAGGATACAAAAATTTGGATCTACAACTGATCTGCAAAGATAGGAATTCATACACCTGCATCAACTGGTGCAGATATCTATGGGTTCAATGTGTACCCGGATTTGCAGGGTTCTACACCTTTTCCTATCAGGTCAGATAGATGTTTAACTACAGTTTGAACCTCTCTAATCCAGCACCCTCGGGACCTGACCGGTTCCAAATGACAGAATTTTCTGGAACACGGGAGGTCAATTTTATCTAGCAGCGTTACCAACACTTCTACTGCTTACGGAGCTGTTAGAGGACATTTAGGGGTAAATTAGAGCTAAATAACAGGACAGAACACTGAGAGCCAGGACTGGTGGCTGTAAACAAACTTGATGAAAATGTGGGAAACTTGGCCACATCCATGAAAAGTGGACATCTGGCTAATTAAATCATTCCAGACAATGGAAGTTTCTGGACGAGAAGCTTCTGGATTAGAGAGGTTCAACCTGTAATTAACAGAGGATCTTCTGTGATCCAAATGACAGAAAATCATATCTGCATTAGAAAATTAAATCTGTTGTCTGGTTTTCATACAAAGCATCTTAGAGAACAAAATTTAGTTTTTGAGCACATACTAATACTATTTTGGGGTCAGGTTTATAAATTATTTTCTTGTTATACTATTTGGTATATACAGCTGTAATCTTGTATTTATTGTTGCAGAATAAAGGAATGTAAGGGAACAGAAGATGGAGTCAGAGGTTCAAACTAGCTATTTTCAAGGCTTGCAAGGAAGAAAAGCCTGGGAAGAGTTTCCCATTCTTAAAAAATAGGCTTAAGATAGTTCTCTGAAAGTGATTTATAACTTATGTCATTTTGTAAACCTTTCCAGCTGTCTGAACTAAATTTACTTTAGACTCTGTCCAGAACTGCAGGGTCAGTAAAGTAATATAAAATGTGTTTTTTTCCTGTTTTCCAGGGACAGACTTTTTTCTTTGCTTTACCAAGTAAATAGCTATTGTACATTCTTCTACATAAATACAATTCTTATTGTTTAGTCTTATTCAGTTTTGTTTCTCTTTGGCAGTATCTACATCAGAGATCTGATTTTCTCCTAACTGAACCAGTAAGAATGCGTAGAATCAAGCACAAGCAGTGCAAAACAGCCTTGCTGTCTCACATTCTGAACCAGTGTAGTTCCTCCCATTCATTACATGTTTTCAATTGTAATGCATGGATGATTAGCACACTGTCCCTGACACATCTAGAAGCATTGGATTCTGGCACTGTGGTGCAGTAGCAGGTCTACCATTTCGGCCCAAACAACCCACACTGCATTGAATCAGTTCAGATTAAAACAGCATTTAGCTAAATGCAAAATGTAACCCAAATGGTATTTGGTTGACGTGTTAAATGTCTAGAGCAAGGGGGAGGGGAGGAAAAATGTGTTTTAGGCAGGATCACAAAGTTCTTTGAGAACACTTCTCTAATGTAGACAAGCCTTTACTGACTTCTGGGCGTTTTTGTGCATGTGCGCACACACATACACACACACACACGCTACTAGTTAGCGAGATAAAGATAAACTGACATTCTTAAAATAGGAGACAGGATAGGATGTCTCTCTAGTCCTTTGGCCTTGAGATACAAGCTAGACCTCAACTTAAATCTTCCAATTGGCTAAAATCAGTAGAGTGGGTTTTGATTTTAAAATAGTTTTCAGAAATTAAAAAGTTGCTTAGCCTGACACATATATGTTAATTAATTCAAAGTTTTTGCAATTCAATGCTTTCTGTATTTAAATTATAAGTGCTAGATCAGCAGTGGGCAATTATTTTTAATGGGGAGGGGTACTCCAAGATTTTGGTAAGTGACCAAGGGCTGCACTTCTGTTGAGGAGGCGCAGGGTCTGGGACAGCGGGTGGAGTGTAGAAGGGAGCTTGGGATAGAGGATTGGGGTGCAGAAGGGAGTGTGGGGTCTGAGAGGGAGTTTGTGTGAAGGAAGGAGTTATAATCTGGGACAGGGGCTTGGGGTTCAGGGTCTAGGAAGGGTTATGGGTGCAGGAGAGGATTTTGGCTTGGGGGAGTGATGTAGGAGGGGGTGCAGGGTCTGGGAGGGATTTGTGAACTGGGAGAAGGGGGCAAAGGGGATGTAGAGGGTTTGGGTGGTGATGTGGGGCAGGGGAATGGGGTGCAGGGTCAGGGAGGGAATATGGGTGCAGGAAAGGATTCTGGCCTGGAGCAGGGATGCAGGAGGGGGGCAAGTTCTGGGAGGGAGCTGTGACCTTGAGGAAGTGGGGAGAGGGGATACAAAGGGTTTGGGTGGTGGTCTGGGGTAGGTAGTTGGGTGGAGTGGGGTGCCAGAGGTAGGCTTTGGTTGCGAGGCATTTACCTAGGTGGCTCCCAGACAGTAGCTCTGCAGACTCCCTGCCTGTGTGATGGGTGGACTGCTCCACATGGCTATGCTCCAGCACAGAGAGGGAGGGAGGAGGCTTCATTCATTGTGCCTGCCTTCAGCAAAATTTCTCTGCTCCTATTGGTCAGAAAGTCGCCAATGGGAGCTGGGGAATTTGGTTGGGGACAGAGACAGAGTGTGAAACTTTCTCCTCCCTGCCCAGATTACATAGCCATTAGCTGTATAAAGCAGCTGCCCCTGCTCTGTAATAAGGATGCCAAGCAAGGAGGCCGTGGGCCGGATCCAGCAGCTTGGCGGGCCAGATCTGGCCTGCAAGCTGCCTCTTGCCCACCTCTGGGCTAGATACTCCTTTTAGTTACACAGGTAGAATTTTGAAGCAAATCCATTGACTTCAGTGGAGTTACACAGCTGTGACTGAGATCAGAATTTTTACCTATGTGTTCAGTACAAAGTAAAATGAAGTAAAAAGTTTCATACCTGCATGTTTTCCCTCATATCGGTGGCCTCGCGTAATGGATGCACAGCTAGTTTAAAGATGTCATCTATAATCTTAAGGCTTGTGTTCCTCAGCATGGTATATTCACTTCCTTTCTTTCCTATTCTCACCGACAGACTGCGCTTTTGTGCTTTTCCTCCTCCACTTCGATTAGTTATTGCAATGTGAACAAAAAGTGTAACATGTTCCAAGATATCTCCAACAAAGGAGCGCAAAGGTATATGTCGATATCCAGGCTGTAAACATTCAAGTGGTATGGTATACTGGCCTATAAACTCATCACCAATATAGTCATCGTCCAAAACAACAAAACGGATCATTGCAAGTTCTGGTAGGTTTATTTGGAACTCAAAGCTTTCATCAAAAATAGGATTGTCACTATTTTGCTGAACAGTTTTAGTTCTTTGTTCTGCACAGTCTGCAGGAATTCCATGAATTTCTATGCAAACATATGGGTCTATGACATCCCCTTTTGCACAAGCTCCTTTGGGCTTTGGAAAATTCTGACCACTGATAATTTTGACATGTAAAACTTGAGGAGAGACCCCAGGAAGGATACCTTTTGTATTTGCACTAAAATAAGATACTTCATCACGCATAACAGAAGGTCTAAGGACATATCCACATCCCCCATTCTGTAAAAACCAGCCAGTATGTAGATCCATCATTGGTCCTGGAGTCTGATAGTTCATTGCCACTATTTGACAACCACAATTCCAAAAATCTTGGGGATTTAAGTTACTAGAGTCTATCCTCATGGCACTTGGATATATCCTAGACAAAAATTTCTTGTTGTAGTTGACAAAGTCCTCTGGATATTCATTTGCAATTCTACTGGCCTCTGCCTCACTGAAAGAGCAAATTTCCCAATAATTCTGACTTTTCATAGATACCGTAAAATCTTTGTACTGGACAGATTTGCATATAGATACCAAATCAGACAATTCTCTACACAGCCAGATGAGCCTTGATTCATTCACATAATCTTCAGACATCCTTCGAGATATTTCAGCCTCTTCATCTTCATCAGAGACTTCTCCTTCTAATAAATCCTTGTCAGAGGGAAGTTTCTTCCCTTTCACGATAATCTTCTTTTTCAGTTTCTCGGGTGATGGAAGGTAGGCTTCTGATAGCAAAGGTGCTTCTGTGCAGAGTTTGTTTCCAAAAATCTTCTTCATGTGTTGAACCATTACTTTTTGTTGTTGTATTGAGCAGTGGTTACCCAAGCAGAGAATGAGAGGATATTCTGTAGTAATGAAGGCTAACTTGTTTATTACCTCGATAACATTTCGAAAGGCAAGTGGTGATGTCATGCTATTACGGTTACAAATAATGGGCTCGTTATCTGGACCATCACAAACATCAAGTTCAATACTCCTACAGTTCATTTTTAAAGCCCTGACATAGCCATTGATATCAGCTGGTCCTCTAAACTGGTCTTCTATTAGATAGGTATTGTGAGATGCATTGATATAGTAATGTGATAAAGGTTGTGTCATATCCTGGACAACTTTTCGGTGTTCAGGGTCAAAAATATCACATTCTGGGGACATCAAATACTGAGTAAATCCATCAATTGTAAGAAATCCCTTCAATCGTCCTTCTTGAGAAAGTTCATACCTGCGGATAATGTCTAGACACATTTCTTCTGTTATATGAGCAACTCCTTGCTCAGCTTCTAAAAAAAGCATAAGATCATTTGCATCTAAATATTCCTTGTTTTTAGATATCTGCACTAGTAAGAAATAAACTTCTGGTCTTGTGCAAAGTTCGCTGAATGCTTCGCAAAATTCCTCCTTAGTTACTCGAGTTGTTAGTTTTTCTTTGCTTTTCTGGATTTCCTTAAATTTTAACCTAATCTTTGATTCCTTTAAGGTAGGATTAAGCTGTTTGATTAATTCTACAGATGTATCTTCTAGCATTATGCCATTACCATCAACATCTGCAGCTTCAAATACAGTTTTTAGCCATACAAACCGTGGAGTATTTTGGCTGTTTTCCATCAAATCCAGAGGTTGTTTGCCTCGAGAAACCAGGTATCGTAAACCGGACACCCAAATGTTGGCCACATCAGCTGAATTGGCAACCAGGTCAAGAGACTCATAATTCTCCCCATGAATTACAGAGAATGCACAGTCTTCACTAATCTGGTCTGCAAGTCCATTGTTCCTAAATGTTTCAGTGTTCTTCCCTAGTCTTATCTCTTTTACAGCAGAAACATCAAGCTTAGCCTTGTCCAGGTCTTTCTTGGAAGGTTCCCAGCGAAGTGCTTGCAAGTCAGGGTCTAGAGTAAAAAAACGATTATAAATGCGGGAATTTGGACGAACTTTCTTCAGTTCACATCCAGCCTGCATAAAGCTGATACAGTCACTAGCACTGCTTATTTTTTTCTCTGATGGCATGCTGCTGAAGGACACAGTTTTCTTCCTTCCACATTTTTGGTTGGAAGGATCCTGTAAAATAATTTAAAATAATTAAGTATATTTTCTTTGGCCCTTTGACAAGTGTACCTATAATACACAAAGCATAGCTCCCTTATATTTGTTTGATCATCAAAACATAAAAGCACTACCTCGTCCCATAATTCAATTCTCTACCCAGCTATAGAATCAAACTGCACAATGTCTTGCTTGGCTGCAACAAAATGACTGTCATATTTCCACAGAAGTCCCCTCAGCAAGAGGCCGCAGGCATGAGGAGAGGTGGAATGTGATGTTAACCTCACTTGAGAAGCATATTGGGAGAACTGGGGGATGATTCACTGAGCAGTGAGAAGTGTCACAGTTATGGAATTAACCTGGAGGGTTGCTATGGGGATTAAAGGAGTGGGGGAGAGCCAGAAAGAGCTAGGAGGGAGGGGGTCGTGGTAGAATGGAAGGCCTGAGCACGTGGGAGATGGCCCTACCTTCATTCTGACCTGCTTCCCCCACACACACCGCCCCACCTTCAATGTTGCCCTTCTCTCGCCATGGCTGATGTTTCCAGAAAGCCCCAGACGCTCATGTCAGGCCACTCTCAGTGGCCATTGACAAGAAGGTACATTCCCAGCCCTGCAGACACCTAGATTGGGAAGAGGAGCCAAGCAGTCCTTGATGGCTCAGAGACCAGACGGGACAGAGGTCAGGCTAACCTCTCACCACCTGAAGCCAGCCTGGACTTTTGCGGGGCTGAGGTGCCTTCTGGGTTGGCAACACGGCATTCTGTCACAGGCCCCAGCACAGGCTCCAACAGGCCTCCATGTTTGTATGTACTATTTTGTGCCCACAATGCTTGCCAGGAGAGAGCATAAATGAAATACAGGCATAAAACTGTGGATCCAGTTCTTCAATGTTGCAAGACTATGCCATTAAAACCAGTGACCTAGATTGAAAAGCAGGCCCATATTTCTTGCACTATAGCTCTGACCAGAAAACCAAATCCTCAGTAACATCTCTTAAGGATCCCACCATGGATCTGGATGACTTTACCTATTAGATGAAATCCCAACATACACTACTCTGTAAACAGCATAAAAACTAAATACCAGTGTTTGTATTCTTGGGATAGCTAACGTGAGAAGGTAGGCCATTGTTAATGTTTTCTGTTTTAGAAGTATTCCTCTGTGCTTTATTGTTCATATACAGAACTCTCCACGTTAGCCCATTCAATAATATTTGAAATGTTATCAAAAAAAATATAACAACTGTATTTAAAGCCAATTGGCTCTCCTGGGAACAATTACAAAATCTCTAAACTTTATTATTAAAGGTCTATAGCTAATTTGTTAAGGCAATGAATTAAAACTTTTAATGACAGGCAAAATTACTCTAGCCATTTATTGTAGTATTTAGCATGTTAATTAGGATTAAAATAAGAAGAAAGTCAGTGTTAGCAATATCTACTTGAAATTTCATATCTAGCTTTCAGTAGAAAAGTGCAGATTCCAAAACCTGGAACTTGAACATACTTCCAATGACTTCAATGAAAGTAGGAACAAACTCATACAGTGGTGCCAATTTCTGCAGTTTTACAGTATTGTGGTATTTGCTATCTTTCACCCAAAGATATCAATAGACAATAGGCTTAAAATGAGCAAAAGGAAGTACTTTTTTACACAGCACACAGTCAACCTGTGAAACTTGTTGCCAGGGGATGACATGAAGGCCAAAACTATAATTAGATTAAAAAACAAATTAGATAAATTTCATGGAGGATTAAATCCATCAGTGACTATTAACCAAGATGATCAGGGATGCAACTCCATACTCTGAACATCCCTAATACTGGAACTGCCAGATTCTGGGACTGCGCAACAGGGGATAGATCACTTGATGATTACCCTGGTCTGTTTATTGAAGGGGTGGGGAACCTAAGGCCCAGGGGCTACTTTGGATCCGGGCTCCGAGGTTCAGGCCCTACCTCCCAGCATTGGAGAACCCGTGCTGGCACTCCAGCTACCCCAACATTGGGGAACCCGTGCTGGCACTCCAGCTCCCCCAACACTCCACTGCAGGGCTGGAGCACACAAAATCTACCAGGCTGGACCCCCTACGCTCTGGTGTGTGAGGAGAATGTGGGAAGTGTCCTTTTCCTTCTCAGTAGGGGGCCAAGTCAGTGAGGGTTTGGGAGGGGGGAAGAGTTTCTTCTCACTTTTGTGTAGTCCCCCATTCTGTGGGTCAATGGCCCCCGGCCCAAAAAAGGTTCCCCACCCCTGGTTTATTTTTTATAAAGCATCTGGCATTGGTCACTGTGGGAAGACAGGATATGAGGCTAAATAGACCATTGCTCAGACCCAATACGGACATTCTTACTTACAGTTCTTAAAGCCCCAACTGTTGTAATCAAAAAAGTGCTTGAGAATCTCAACTCTCAATTAAAATTAAAAAGTTCTAGGCCTCATGGTTGTGTGAGGAAATAGTTGAAAAAGTAACAAATGCACCATAAAGGCTCAGAAGGCAAATGAAAAATACCCAAGGTATGTTTGAAGATTTGAAATTAATATGAGCACTATTCTCAAAGGATTCACATTTAAAGTCTTCTGGAATAAATACAGAATACATTTTTTAACTCTGATTTTACAGTAATCTGTACAATGAAGTAGGTCCTCTGGACCAGATCCTCAGCTGGGATAAATGGGAGTCCCATTGCCTCAGTGGTGCTACACTGATTACCCTCGCTAAACTTCTATCATATTGTCTTTGCCTAAGAGGGCAGCAAGATTTGTTACACAACATGCTCACCAATTGGCTTCTATAGGGGAAAAACACAATATGTTACTTTTTAGTTGTGAAATGGCTTCGGTTGTTGATGACAATGAAACATGGAATCAAACTAATTTATTTTAGATGACAAAAATATCGGGTCTTCCTGGGAGTGCTATGCTCCTTCTAATTCTCAATCTTTTGAGTTTATTGCAGAGAGGTTTTAGTTGGTGTTTGTGATGGGGCATTTGCCCTGCACTGGCTCTTTGAGGGTTAAAACCCAGCCCTGGAAAAGGGCTGGAGCAGTAGAGCTGTGGAGCCAGCAGTTGTGGCCAGTCTGAGCCAATTAGGGCCCAGCTGAGGGCAGTATAAATAAAGGCTCCTGGAGAGGTGGAGACAGAGACACACTTGCTGTGAAGCAGGAGGGATCTGGCTGCCAGGGAAGCTAGAGGCTTCCTGACGTAATGCAGGACTAGTGAAAGGCAGGCAGGGCTGAGGAAGCAAGGTCAGGACTAGTGAAAGGCAGGCAGGGCTGGGGAAACGAGGCCTGCAACTAGGGTTGCCAGATACTTTCACAAAAAATCCCGAACATGGTGGGGAAAAAAATGGGAGACCAAACTTGTTGAGAAAAAAAAAAAACCAAAAATCACTGCGCCTTTAAATTCCCACACTCCCTGCTCCCCCGCCCCTTCAGAGGAAAAATATCCCCGCCAGCCTTCCGTCCGAGAAAAACAGAAAATATTTTGTTTTATTTTTTTTTTTACTGGACAGGATCCACAAATACCAGACTGTCCGGGCAAAAACTAGACACCGGGCAAACCTAACTAGGGCTGCAGAGAGGCAGTCAGGGTAGGCACAGGCAGCAGATCCACACCCCCTTGCCAATGATGAGTGGCCATTTCAGACGCAGTTTGCCCCTGAGGTAAGGAGCTAGATGAAGACTGGCAGTGGGTCACTGAGGCAAGGTGGGCATAGAGGGTTGGGGATTTCCAGTGGGGGAGGACCCCAGAGTGTGAGGGCATGGTGGCAGAGCAGTACCCAGACGGAGGATGTCACGTTCTGAGAGAGACGTGAGTCCTAACACTGAGGTGGAGAAGAATCAGTAGTAGCAGGCATGATCAGCCAAAAGGGGAGTGCTCCAGCACCAAAGAGCTAATTCCCTGAGTGCCCAGTAGGAGGCGCCTGTGGTGGTGAGGCCTCCTGTGTTACAGTGTCATATAGGCTATTTAAAAATTGTAGAAAAATAGTGTTTCTTCTCCACAAACGACTTTTTTCATATCTGCTTATCAATTTAATCAATAAAATCTAATCCTGGAAACTAATTATATAAAACAAACAGAATTCAGATGCTATTGCAACTGATATGATTATTTTCATTGGCATTAACTACTAATCATTCTAACCTATAATACAAAACATGGAAAAGAAAACTATGCAATTTGCAACTGTGAAATGATCCGAGAATGAATTCATAATAATCCCCTCTTTCCCCGTCTTTCGCATTTTGTCATCATGGTATGAGTACTTGGTAATGCTTTTAAAATGCAGCCTGACCAGTCTGTATATAATTTCAATTTAATAAGACAATTGCCATTTCAAAATGTTATAATAAAAACATATTTATTCAAGCTTTACAAACATTAAATGCTTAAAAAGTGTTCCCTTGAACTATAGCTTTATTTAATCTGAGGGAGAGGACATACTTCCTTCTAGGGACATATGTTTACCTAACATTAAGAAAATAATCTAATTTATACTCTTCAGCATAGGCGTGCGCAGCACATTTCATTAGGGTGTGCACCCAGGTAATTTTTTTTAAAGGCGAACATTTATTGAATCATAAAGGACATTATTTTTATTCATCAAACAAACTAAAGAAACTAAAACTTAACTAAATTTATTTTTTTTTAAAATTAACAACTAAACTTTACTTAAAAGAGAGTATCACGCGATAAAAAAAAGTGGACTTGCGTTTTAATTTAGAGACATTAGGGTGTGCCTGGGCACACCCAGCACACCCCTGCACACATGCCTGTGCTCCTCAGCTAAATTAGGGTGTGCCTGGGCACACCCAGCACACCCCTGCGCACGCCTGTGCTCCTCAGCTAGTGGTGGAGTGGGTTTCACTAAAAGCATTTTGGTGAACTATCCATTTTGTGGTTCCATAATTTGTTTATTTAAAATAAAAACAGCAACATTTTCTAATAAATCAGTCTGCTTCCTTCTGTAAGTAAGCATCAAACACAAAGATTCTCCTGATAAGAGGTTATGTC